GCCAGCGGGCGGTCGAGTGGTTGCGATCGGCAATCCATCGGGACTTGCATTTTGTGTTTGCGATGGTTTACTGCAAAGTGTGGACAAACCGGAGAGTACGGTATCGGTTGGCACTTACGAGTACTATCAGAGCACCGATGACCCCAAGGAGACTGTTTGTGTTCACACGTGTCCGATGGGTCCGGGCTTTTCCGGCGGACCATTGATTGATATGAGCGGACGGTTAGCGGGCGTTAATTGGGGCGGAATTCCCGGCTTTTGTGAATCGTTTGCCATTCCTTTGGAAAATTTCAAACGTTTGTTACCATTTATAACAAAATTAAGATATATTTGCAAATAATTTTGTGTACAATTTTTAGGATTCATTTTTAAAGCCATGAAATTTCAAAGTCATGAAAGACTATTACAGGAGAAAAGATATTCATATGAGAGCAACAAATCGTTGGGAATCGCTGTCCAACCGATGAGTCTTTCCCTCAGAAGACATATTGAAAACGAGATAATCGGAGACCGAATGAAGAGCCAAATCAGAAGTGGACTTATTGTCTATTGGCATACATTTACACCAAATAAACTTCCGTCAAAGTAATGCATTTTATTACTATTGCTAACAAATTAAACATCAATGTTATGCTTAAAAATATTTTAATTACTTTTAAGGAATGACTTCAAGAAATTTGATGTAATCGTTGAAGTGATGGGAAATGCAATCAAATCTGTGAATGATTTGAAAAATTGTATTGATTTGTGTCCGACGGGTGAAGAGTTGGTAATGACTATTGTTAGAGACTTTGATTTAGACAACAAAAAACAATTACAAATTAAACCAAATGCTATTGAATGTCCCCTTATATAATATTTATGATTTGATTATTTAATAAAATAAATTGTAATCATAAATATTAATGTGATATGAATGACAAATTGATTGTAATTAAACTTTATTTTAAATGTACTTTTAATATACATGTAACTTATTTAGAATTCACATTTAACTTTGATATAAGAATAATCCGGTTGATGTGCACAACATTCTGTGTCATCAATGATCTCTTTATATTGCTATTTAATTGTATTTGTAATGTTTTTATTTTAATTAAATGTTAATACTTTTATTAAACTTCTAAAATACAGTATTATAATTAAATATTTATTTGATTTATTAATTCAAATGTTTGATTTAAAAATTGTACTTATTTTACACTTATTTACACTAAATAATAAGTCAAAGAATATTAAAAAATTGATCAAACTTATAATAACTAAAATAATTTATAAATACAATTTTATAATTAATTTACAAAAATAACTAATTATTAATTAATTGTCAAACATATCGGACAGCGATATAAACGAAACCGATTAATGGTATTAACAATACACCGGCGCTGAACTGAAAGGCCAGTCCCGGCGCCCAACCTATGGTAGCGTTGAATATAGC